TTTTTTTTTTTATCTGTGAGTGTGTGTGAATTTTCAATGGTTTTATGTAGTTGGTTGCTTGGCAATGTTTTTCTGTTATTTTGTTTTCATTGTTATATTTCTGACTCAGTTTATGTGAATTTTGTAGTTGGGTGCTTGGTAAATTAGAAAATTGTTGGAGATACTCCTGTGTTTTGGATTAGTTGTTTTTTATCCATTCATCTGTAGTTAATTATTATTGCTAAACGTTAAGAGATTATGCTAATACTGCTCGAATTGAGCTAAAAAAAAAAATCAAAAGCGTATAAGAAATTGTGGATTTCATGAATAGATTGAAGTCGATATAAAGTTTGAGTAGTCCAATAGCCAATTTATAAATAATGCTCAAAGCCTCAAATTCATTTTTCAATTTTTGAGTAGCCTGATATACTGTTACTTATGGATAGATATGACACTCCACCACCAATAAACTGGGGGATACGAATTGTACCTGAGAAGAAGGCATACGTTGTTGAGAGATTTGGAAAGTACGTGAAGACATTGACTCCTGGAATCCACTTACTGATTCCGTTTGTCGACAGAATTGCTTATGTGCACTCACTTAAAGAAGAGGCAATTCCAATTCCCGACCAGTCTGCTATTACTAAGGACAATGTCAGCATTTTAATCGACGGGGTCCTCTATGTAAAGGCACGTGTGAAGACAGTAGGGGTTTGAGATGAGCTCTTTTTATTAATAAACTCCTCAGATATTTGATGTATCATTTTCTCATGGATCTGCAGATAGTGGACCCAAAGTTGGCATCATATGGAGTTGAGAATCCATTGTATGCCGTGATTCAGCTTGCGCAAACGACTATGCGAAGTGAGCTAGGTAAGATCACTCTTGACAAGACTTTTGAGGAAAGGGACACACTCAATGAGAAGATTGTGGTAAGTACACATTTCATTTACTACGTTAGTTTGGGCTTTGCTGCATAAAGAAATTAGAAGTACTGGGCATGGCCTTAGAAGTGTCAGAAACACTGTCAGTAGCACAGTCGTAATGTTACATTCAGAACCAACTAGTTCTGTGGTCAGACCGCTGTTTTCTTTCTTCTTTGTGGGTGCTGAAAAATATTGAGTTGGCCTTATGATTATCTTAGATACAAAATTAGCAATATTACTCTTGGAAAGTTAGTATATGTATTTAAAACTGGTTTATTAGAACATAGCATATTTTCACGCATCAAGATTATTACACCCACACATACAACACTTACAATATAGTTATGCTATTATGCTCCTTTGTCAATTGGCAAATACTGTATCTTATTGTTATGCTGCATAATTGTTTGTGATTTCTGCTTGATATGTAAATCTGCATCAGTCAGTATCTGCATACCAAGTGGCATTCAGTTAGATTATTTTGTTTTATTGGTTTGAACCGACCTTCTTGGTGCAGATTGCCATCAATGAAGCAGCAAAAGACTGGGGTTTACAATGCCTTCGTTATGAAATAAGTGGGTAACTTTTTCGGAACTAATAGTTTGTTGGTCTGGTTTTACAAATTCAATAGTATTCTCTCGTGCATCTTGTTTATCCTGCGAGTCTCTTCACTAAATTAGGGGATATATCTCCTCCGAGAGGAGTGAGGGCTGCCATGGAGATGCAAGCAGAAGCAGAGCGGAAAAAGAGGGCTCAAGTTTTGGAATCTGAAGGTATTTGGTTTGTCTCCTGCTGTCTGCTGTTGGCCGTGGATGCTTGGTGTTTGATGTGCAGTTGTTTTGATTAAAAACTATTGAAGGCATTCTGATGGAAATTTGATAAATTGAGGATGAAACTAATTTTTCTCTTAATTATTTGTCTTAACTTTGTTTTAAGAAAAGATTTGATGCATTGATTAAGGAAAATGAATTTGCATTATTTTGGGAGAAAGAGAGAGAATAGTAATCGTTACTACCACGACCTTGAGAAATTCATCTAATTTTTTTGTTCTTTTCACATTTCACCTTTTTGAAATTACATCTTTCTTAAATGTTCTAATTGCATACCGGCATTTAATGTTTTTATTCTGCGTGTTTCCGATGTGCTGCATGCATAGTGTAAGTAGTGTTTGAGCTAGCAATAGTTACAATGGATCAACAGGATCTTCGGGCTAACTGATGTTCATGTTTCTTCTATTATGCAATCAATTTTCCATGCATTCTGGACACTATTATGGTGATAGATCAATTCTCTTTCAATTTAACCACCTATTATTATGTCCCGACGTTTCCATTGTGGATAAGAGGATTGAATTGCATGAACTTTCTGTATAAAAGCAGAATAAGTTACTGCCATATCCATAGCTAGACATGGATGAATATGTTCTTACAACTGATCTGAGAAAATCCATAGCACTGCATATTCCTTGCTTAATGTTTTTCTATGACTAATTGGAGGTCGTATGCAGGAGAAAGACAGGCAAATATTAATATTGCGGACGGTAAGAAAAATGCAGTGATCCTTGCATCAGAAGCCTCAAAGGAAGACCAAGTCAACAGGGCTCTAGGTTAGTTGTCATGTTTGCATTGATAGTTAATTGTGTAATCTTAAATGGTCCATTGATCTCCTGAAAAATCGAACAAGGCAAGCAAGCTAAATCTGTATCAGTTGGCATTTACATACTAAGTTAATCTGTGATAGTTTGTGTATGATAGTATGTTATTGATGTTTTCTTTTATCTATTTTCAACTTGGACTTTTGCTTGAATGTCTTCTACTACAGGTGAAGCAGAAGCCATCCTTGCTAGAGCACAAGCAACTGCTAAAGGAATTGCTATGGTGTCAAAAGCACTCGAAGAAAGTGGAGGCATGGAGGTGCAGTTCATTTTGTCTTCATCTTCTCTTTAACTGAAGCATTCAATGCATCTTTTTCCCTTTTCTTCTAAAAGTTGTATTTATTTCTATTTTTTAGATTTCAATACACCTCTCTATTCCTACTAAGAGGACTGGTTAAACAATGATTTGCATTTAGTTCCTACAAAATGGGTTTGAGGAGTAATTGTGATAAGATAACAGAAAATTATACCTAATTCAGAAAACATATCTGGATTCTCTGGAAGTAATTGTGGAGGACCAATAATCTTTCTTGGATTTGCAGGCTGCAAGTTTAAGAATTGCCGAGCAATATATTCAGGCCTTTGGCATGATTGCAAAGGAGGTAAAAAATTCTCCAGACTGGGTTATATAATATAACGTTGTAATCATTATCTTGATGCAAATATATAAAATTCTTTTTTTTTTTCTCTCTAGGGTACGACGGTGTTACTGCCCTCCAATGCCTCTAACCCAGCCAATATGATGGCCCAAGCCCTCTCCATATACAAGAACATGATTGGTAAAAGCCCAATCAACGGCCCGTCCGAGAACTCTCAACCGGACCATGTGAGAAGTGATGATTCATCTTGGGAATCTATCTACAAAACCTCCTCGGCCTCAGAACCTGCTGATCAGGATACTGTAGGCGAGCCCGTTTTTTCTCTGCAAAGCCCCAAGGACAAGAAATGAAAAGGCGCGTGTATAACAATGGAAAAGAAAGGTGATTATAAATTGTTTCTCTGTTGTGCCTTTCTTTTTTCAGTAACTTTTGACGGTTCCGCGAACGCATACAGTTTGTCTGCTTCGAGAGAGCATAAAGGAAGTTTGACGAGAAAAGCAGACTTGTGCTGAGTAGCCCGTTGTTCATCTTCTTCTCTCTATTTGGTGTTTCATTTTTTCTGGTGCCTAACTTGACCTTTATAGAATGCTTGGACTAACCTGTAGGAAATGCCTAAAATTTGACCTTTATAGAATGCTCAAATTTGTAGGAAATACTCCAGAGAGTAGTTTTCATATTAACCACACCTTGACGAATTTCTTAATACAAAATACGCGAAATTTTAATCACCATCTGACACTTTGACCTCTGAGAAATTAAAAAAAAATAACTATGAACATTAAAATAAAACCTTAAAAAAACTAATAATAATAAATAATAATTTAAAAAAAAAACTAGAAAGTCGACTTTGTTGATCAACATCAATTTTGCAAAGATCATGGGACCAATACTATCACAATCCTTGCACCACATTATATAAACAAAATTCCAACTTCCTTCTATAGGGACCATTCCAATGCTATCACAATCCGTGCACCACCTTGCAGTTACAAAATTCCAATTTTCTTTCCCAAAAACATTTAACGTAGAATATTCAAGATTGTGATTGTAGGAATCAAATTCCAAACGTTTTTCCTCACAATGGATTAGATCATACTTCACCATCTCCACACACTTCAATAACCCTGTTTTCGTGTATAACACTATGGAAAATGCTGCTCATCTACGTATCGTTGATATAATGTATCCACGACTCACATGTCGTATCGTGGATATAATGTATCCACCACTCACATGTCAAAATCTCGTGATCTTGGAATACAGTATACTATCATTATATGATATGTTAATTGTCCGCCAAAATATTCATATGATATATCAATTTTCTGCCATATGAGGAAATTAACATATTCAAATGTAATATTGAAATGTAAGAGGAACAAGTTCTTTCATTACCTCCCAACTTCAACTTCAAATATATAAATAAACAAAATAAACTTTGCAACTTGATTTCATTTCTCCGAGTTCCCCCAGGAAAAAATATATATATATAAAAAAAAAAAATTATTAATGGGTTCCCAACAAGATGAGGATACGGCGCCAAAACCACTTGAAATCCCCAAAAAGCCGTCCAGTTCCCGCCACAATTCCCCTTTAGTCCAGGTCATTCTCATCGGGCTGGTCTGCTTCTGCTGCCCGGGGATGTACAGTGCCCTCGTCGGCATGGGCGGCGGCGGCCAGGTCGACCCCACCGCCGCCAACAACGCCAACACCGCCCTCTACGCCGCCTTCGCGGTTTTCGGCGTCCTTGGCGGCGGAATCTACAACATCCTCGGCCCCCGCCTCACCTTGCTCTGCGCCTGCCCGACCTACCCTCTGTACGCCGCCTCCTTCCTCTACTACAACCACCGCCACCGCCAGGAATTCTCCATCGTCGCCGGAGCCCTACTCGGCGTCGGCGCCGGCCTCCTGTGGGCCACCCAGGGCGCAATCATGACGTCGTACCCTGCCCGAGGTAAAAAGGGCATCCACATTTCAATATTCTGGAGTATTTTCACCATGGGCGGCGTAATCGGTGGTTTGATTCCGTTTACCCTGAATTTCCATAGAAACGAGGCTCTTTCTGTGAATGATGGTACGTATATCGGTTTCGTGGTGTTCATGTCGATCGGGACATTGCTGTCCCTATCCATCTTGCATCCGGGTCGGGTCGTCCGGGATGACGGGTCCCACTGCACGAGAATCGAGTACTCCAGCGTGCGGATTGAGGCCCGTGAAATCCTGAAGCTCTTTCTCGACTGGAAGATGCTCCTGATGGTGCCGGCCTTTTGGGCGAGCAATTTCTTTTACAGCTATCAGTTTACCAATGTGAACGGTGTTTTGTTTAACCTCAGGACACGGGGTTTGAACAATGTGTTGTACTGGGGTGCGCAGATGATTGGGTCCGTGTGTATCGGTTTTGTGATGGATTTTAGTTTCAGAAGCAGGCGGGCCCGCGGGCTTTTTGGTGTTGGGCTTGTGGCCATACTCGGGACGGCTGTTTGGGGTGGTGGGCTCGTGGAGCAGCTCGATTATAGCCGTGTTGATTTGCCAGACCGGAGGCTAGATTTCATGGATGGCGGCAGTTATGCGGGCCCGTTTGTGCTGTACTTTAGTTATGGGCTGCTCGATGCAATGTTTCAGAGCATGGTGTATTGGGTGGTTGGCGCATTAGCTGATGATACTGAGATTCTTAGCAGGTAGAATCTCGATTCACACTTTTTGATGACTATGTAAACAATCCTTTTTAGGTTGAGCCGAGTAGGAAAACTTCTATTCTCTAGCATAACTACAAAGTTCTCTTAATATGATAGCTACAAATACTTGATCTGGGCTGAGCTGGGTCGGTTGATCCAGCATAAATTAAGTTGTTTTTCAAGTGCAATTCGGTTTTGGGCTCCAAATTTGGCAGCCATTTATATTTCAGCTCGGCCCATTTGGCATCTATTGAATGCCTTCTCTAGCTGAGGTTGTGCAGTTTGTATAACAGAAATAAATGTGAATATATGAGGTGGGTTCAAAGTTTTGAAAGATGAATTTGTTCGTTTTAGAATTAGACTTAATTTTGGATAGTTTATGTAATCAGTTCTTGATATAGTTGACTGGCTTTATTCATCATGTTTTTTGGTCTCGTCTAAGCTTTTGTTGGTTCTCGTGTTTTTTTAGGTACAACGGGTTGTTTAAGGGAGTGCAGAGTGCCGGGGCTGCTGTTTCTTGGCAAGTAGACACACAGAAAGTGCCATTTTTAAGCCAACTTATAACTAATTGGGCTCTCATGACGGTAAGTTATCCTTTGTTGGCTTTGCTGATCATACTAGCTTGTTAAAGATGATGAAATTGAACAGAATTCTAAGGAAGGTGGTACGTCAAGTTAGATTCTTCAAATCAGAAGTTTTCGGTCAAGAAATTTTAGCATAATCGCTACTATGAACACCATTTATCTGCACTATTATCTGCATTACTTTTTACAAATGTTGATTTATAAGGGATTTGCCTTGATTAATACTCCACGAGAGAAGTATTGCTTTGGTTAATGATCATACACACAGATGGTAAATCTGTTCACTCTGTAAATTTGAATATTTGAGTTTCTGTTATTAGAAGAATAAGTTACTTCCATCTCTCTGAAAATCCTTCAACTTTTTTCCTTCTTTTATTGCACTCCCAATAGCTTAATATGTAGTAGGGCTTGAGCATACAAGAATGACAGTTGGAGTTTATAACAAAACAAAACTGCAGTTTATAGACTCAAGGGGAAAAATTAAATAAATAAATAAAATTAAATAACAACAGGAAACAAAATCACCTAGGAAACTACTGCTAGAAAATACAGAACACAAGTTATTTTGTGGAAATTAGTACAGTAGTTGTGGTATACGGGCAGAATTTATTCCCTCGATCCCTCAAGTGAATAAATGTTAAAACATAGAAATGACCCACTTATTGATAAATAATGAAGAAAAAAGTACAAAAACATAGAAAAAAAACTGCAAAATTAAAAGTTCAAGATAAAAACGTCGCATCATTCTTTTCGTCCTCTTGGAACATTAGGTTTAAGCGGCCACCACTTTCTTTTCCTCCTTCTCCTCCTCAACCGGCTTGACTTCAGCTTCAGCCGGCTTGTCTTCAGCTTCAACTGTCTTGGCTTCAGCTTCAACCGGCTTGGCCTCAGCTTTAACAGCTTCATCCTTGGCCTCCTCGACCTTAGCCGGAGCTGGCTCGGACAAGTCTACCAAAGGTGCTTCCTTCTTTTCCTCAGCTACATCTTCCTTTTTCTCCTGCAATAAGTTCATCCGAAACTCGTTAAGGTCTGGAATGTTTACACTAACTGTAAACGCCAATTGGGTGTATCAATAATTGATTAATTTCAAGATCACGAAATTACGGGAAATGGGTAAAAAGGTCCCGAAAAAAAAAGGGAGAGAAGAGAATAATGCATGCTCACCTCAACTGTCTCGACTTTGTCGGCCACTGGGGCTTCGGTGACAGCTGGCACATTGACAGTTGAGGGGGCCTCGACAGGGGCAGGGGACGCCTTCTCGGTGGTGTCCAATTCTTTGGGTTTGCTCGCGCAGCCTCCCATGATATTTACCTCGCGTAAAAATCGGGTCTTTTTATTTTTTTATTTTTATTTTTTTGCGAGATTGGGAGAGGCCGGGCGAAAAGGGATGATGCGAGAGAAATATACTACTTCTTAAATGCTAATGCACTTATTTCTTCTTCTTCTTCTTTCTGTGCTGTGGGGTGAGGTCGACGGTGGATTTATATTCATGGGCAGAGCTTAATTTTCGTGAGCGGAGGGCTGCTTTGTTTGTCCGAAAGTTAGTTATAACCGTTAAGGAATTTCATGTGCTTATTATTTGGGGGAAAATGGGTGGACGGCTAATATTTTGACCATTTAAAACGTTTAAAATAATGAGGATAAGCGCATAATATTTCATATATGAAATGTAGTACAATCGGATGAAATTAAAACTTGATTTTTGTCAAGTTTCACATATAGTAAATTAGGCATTTTAGTGGAGATAAATAACTAGAGATTGATTGAGGATATTATTCATGGAATAGGTTGCTAACGAGTCGAGCAACTCTCGAGACCTGGAATTGAGCTAAAATTTGACCATTTTCAAGTGGAACTCGAGTATTTCGAATTCAAGCTCGAGCTCGAGCTCGAGCCTTCGACGAATCGCTTCCATTTAGACATTTCTTAATTGAAATTTTGAGTCGAAATCAAGCAAAATTCGAGCCACAATCTTTTGTGCTTTTGTTGTCCAGTTGAGCCAAACCTTGAGCAAGACAGGCTCAAGCGAGTGTCGTAGAATTGTGCGTGGCTCGATAAAGCTAATGCTTGGCTCGACTCATTTGCAACCCTAGGGGTACTTACAACACAAAATTACTCACCTCTTGTAGGTTAAGACGTGTTCACCATTTACATGTTGATATTTCGTGTTATTATTCACTCAAAATTTTGTGATTTTAGACCTTCTCAAACCGAGCTAGAAAACACAAACTTTGCAGGAGAAATCACTCCAATCAAGTTGCAAAACGGATCAAGAAATCCGTTCTTTCCCTTCTCCCTCTTCAGATAAATGCAAATTTGCGTCTATGTTCACATTTTGCGTTTTAACTTTCTAATTTGCTATTTGGTCCTTTCTCTTTCACAATATGACAAAATGAGTTTAAATAAAAATCTTAATTTCTATTTTTTTTATTTTAAATTATTTAGAATAATAATATACTCCCTCTTATTTTTTTTAAATGTCATTAATCAAATAAATGTCGTTTTGGATCTTTTGTACATATTTTTCCATTATTACCCTTATTTAACAAATAAATATATTACGTCTTTTCATATTCATTCATCACTTTTTCTCAGAACATTCATCTCTATCTACATTAAATAAGTTATTATTGACAAAAAAAAAATATTCTTAATTAATGCGCAATTTCTCAAAACGATATATATTAAAAATAGGAGGTAATATATTATTCGTGATACTTTTATTTCACTTGTAGAAATTATTATGACAGAAACTATAAAAATATATAAAAGAAAATACAGAAAACACACCAACGTTAATAACGACAAATTACTAACATGTATTGAAATAATATTGATACATTTCGTGACAGACCACACATTTAAATAAAACATTTAAATAACTAGGCCATCTTCAGTTGTCTTATGCATGTTCTTATGCATATAAATTACAATTTTATAATTAATTTTATTGCATAAGTTTATAATCAAATTCAAAATAATAGTATGGTTTAATTTGTAAATTTGTCCAATATGTGCGTATTATTGAAAATTTATAAAAAGTTGATGTAAACGAGAATATTGTGAGAATATTCTTTTGAGTTTGAGAATGAGTTTTTTCAATTGGAGATGAATTAATAGGTTTGAGAATGATTTTCTGGAGATGACTTTAATCACTAAAAGAAAAATTGGTTTTGTACCAATTTAACAGTTCTATTTTTTGTAAGTGGAAACTTAGAAAATTCTCAAAACCATTTAAAGGTGAATGATAAATTAATTTTAAGTTGTACATGTGTGAAATATAAGGTTGAAATAATTGAGTTTAAGTAACTCAAATTATTAGATTCGCAAAACATTTTGTCTTTGTCGAATGTTAAGATAATCCAAATGATACTTGATCATGTAGGTTATATGCTATAACTCTAAAAGAGTTCGCTGAGGACGAGTATTAAAGAACGAAACTCAAATACGAGTCTGGATGAGCTCACCGAGCCTGCGGCACATGGACGCGCAACTAGCCGCGACCAGCAAAAGGTTGCAACCTTTGGTGATCATACGGTGTCTTTTAGCCTCTAAATGCGTTTGTTCTCATTCGAGTACGTTTCAAAAGGTGTCTATTGACACTTAAATCTCTTGGAGTTGTTTTAATACATCTATAAATAACCACATACATGAAATCATTCACAACTTGAAACTTAAGAGCTCTTGCATTATATTTTCAAAGTTCAC